CACGGCCACCTCGTGCCAGCGCCCGTCGTGCAGCGGCTGCTCCGAGTTGCCCTTCATGAGCGAGGGGCCCTCGCCCAGGTCGAACACGTAGTGGATGTACCTGCGAAAGGGGCGTGGCCTCGTGGGGCGTGGCCTCGGGGAGGGTCTCACCTGAGCGGGGAGTGGGGGTGGGGATGGGGACAAAGGGATGTCCCCGCACAGGGTGTGGCCACAGCTGGGTGTGGTCGATATGGGCGTGGCCTGAGCCAAGGGGAGGGGTTTGCGTGAAGGAGGCGGAGCCTAAGGCACGGTGGCACCATGGGGTGGGGGGGCCCTGGGGGCTGAGGGGGTCCCAAGGTCTGGTGAGATTTAGAAGGTCCCCAGGACCCCCGTGGGTGTCCCCAAGGTCACCAAGGTGTCCATGAGGTCCCCTGGAAGTTCAGGAGGTCCCCATGAGGTTTCCAAGGTCCCCCAGACCCTCCCACATGTTCCAGATGGTCTCTGACATCCCCAGGAGGTCCCCAAGGTCCCCATGAGGTCCCCAAGGTCCTCAGGACCCCCCAGATGGTCTCTGATGTCCCCATGAGGTCCCCAAAGTCCCCAGGACCCCCCAGGTGGTCTCTGATGTCCCCAAAGGCTCCCTAAGGACCCCTCTGGCATCCCCGAGATCCGCAAAGATCCCAGCAGGACCGCGCTGTCCCCAAGCGCTCCCCAAACTCCCCAAAGTCCCCAGAAGGTCCCCAAACTCCCTGGAGCGTCCCCCTCACCCTTTGACCAGCTCGACCACCAGGAAATCRGAGCCGCTGCCGCCGTTGAAGAGGATGAGGCCGTCGGGCGCCGTGGTCTTGAACTGGAAGAAGAGGTGGAAGGAGGCGAAGGCCTGGAGCGTGGCCAGCGCCACGTAGGAGCCGCGGCCACCGAAGGCCACCGGGTCGGCCACGATGGCGCGGCGGCCGAAGCGGGCGTTGAGCTCGCAGGAGCTGATGTCGCCGTCGCGGCACAGGTCCAGGTAGGGCAGCCCGTTGAAGAGCAGCCCGCTCAGGTGGCCCAGGAAGTTGGAGGGGACCACGGCCAGGAAGCGCCGCTCGGTGACGATGCCGGTCTCGATGTTGTGGAACTCCAGGCGGGTGTGCGAGCCCGACAGCTGGCCTGGGGGTTGGGGACAAAGGGACACTGGGGTGGCACCGGGAGCGGTGGGGTGGTGTGTGTCACCTCCCCACGGTTCCGTTTGGTTGTGGAGATCGAGCCCGTGTGATGTGTGCTCACAGGCCTGGTCACCTTGTCACCGTGGACCTGGTCACCTTGTCACCCCTCATCACCATGCACCCGTGTCCCCATGGACCTGGTCCCCTCATCCCCATGGACCTGGTCACCCCTTGTCACCCTGGACCTTGTCACCTCTTGTCACCATGCACCCATGACCCCATGGACCTGGTCCCCTCATCCTCATGGAACTGGTCACCTTGTCCCCATGCACCCATGTCCCCAAGGACCTCCATCCATGTCTCCATGAACCTGGTCACCTTGTCACCATGGAACTGGTCACCTTGTCACCCTGGACCTCGTCATCCCTTGTCACCATGCACCCATGACCCCATGGAACTGGTCACCTCGTCACCATGGACCTGGTCACCTTGTCCCCATCCACCCATGACCCCATGGACCTCCATCCATGTCCCCATGGACCTGGTCACTCTATCCCCATGCACCCATGCATGACCCCATGGACCTGGTCATTTTGTCACCATGGACCTGGTCACCCTGTCCCCATGCACCCATCAACACATGGACTTCCATCCACGTCCCCATGGAACTGGTCACCTTGTCACCATAGACCTGGTCACCTTGTCCCCATGGGCCTCCATCCATGTCCCCACGGACCTGGTCACCTTGTCACCGTGGACCTCGTCACCTTGTCACCCCTCGTCACCATGCACTCCTGTCCCCATGGACCTGGTCACCTTGTCCCCGTGCATCCATGCCCTCACAGGCCTGGTCACCTTGTCACCATGGACCTGGTCACCTTGTCCCTATAGACCCATGTCCCCAAGGACCTCCATCCATGTCCCCATGGACCTGGTCACCTTGTCCCCATGCACCCATGTCCCCATGGACCTCCATCCATGTCCCCATGGACCTGGTCACCTTGTCCCCATGCACCCATGTCCCCATGGACCTGGTCACCTTGTCACCCCTCGTCACCATGTACCCATGTCCCCATGGACCTGGTCACCTCATTACCATGGACCTCGTCACCTCGTCACCCCTCGTCACCATGTACCCATGTCCCCAAGGACATGGTCACCTCATCACCCTGGACCTGGTCACACTATCCCCATGCATCCATGTGCCCATCGATCTGGTCACCTTGTCACCATGGACCTGGTCACCTTGTCCCCAACCACCCATGACCCCATGGACCTCCATCCATGTCCCCATGGACCTGGTCACCTTGTCACCCCTCGTCACCACGCACACCTGTCCCCATGGATCTGGTCACCTCATTACCATGGACCTCGTCACCTCGTCACCCCTCGTCACCATGTACCCATGTCCCCAAGGTCATGGTCACCTCATCACCCTGGACCTGGTCACCTCATCCCCACGGACCTGGTCACCTTGTCCCCATGCACCCATGTCCCAATGGACCTGGTGACCCTGTCCCTATAGACCCGTGTCTCCGTGGACCTCCATCGATGTCCCCAAGGACATGGTCACCATGTCCCCATGCACCCATGTCCCCATGGACCTGGTGACCCTGTCCCTATAGACCCATGTCCCCATGGACCTCCATCGATGTCCCCTTGGACCTTCAGCCATGTCCGCATAGATTTGGTCACATTGTCCCCATGCACCCATGTCCCCATGGATCACTACACCCATTGCCACATGTCCCCAAGGACCTCCATCCCTGTCCCCATGTCCCTGCAGCCCCCCATGGACCTGAGCACCCCCAATGTCCCCGTGAGCCCGGGTGAAGGTCCCCCCGCCCCGTCCCCGCGGTGTCACCTTCGACGGTGACGTTGTCGACGGCGAGCTGGAGGCTGCGCCCGCGCCGGGCCACCCGCACCGAGTGCCACTCGTTGTCATCCAACCGCTGCCCCGCGAACAGCGTCTCGGGGCCCTTGCCTGGGGGCAGCGGGGACACCAGTGACACCGGGGACATTGGGGACATTGGGGACACTGGGGACACCGGGACATTGGGGACATTGGGGATACCGGTGACACCGGGATATTGGGGACTTTGGGGACACCAGTGACACCGGTGACACCAGGGACATTGGGACACTGGTGACACGGGGACATTGGGGACACCAGGGACACCGGTGACACTGGGGACA